CGGGATTGCAACATACAAATACTGTGCTAAACATGGTGGTAAAGAAACATTCCTGTAAAATAAAATTAAACCTGTATCCAAAGTATTTTAACCACTATTTTATATTCATCTTTGGTTATAAAAAGGGCCAGGCTCCGGCTAATGTACAAGTGGTTGGCGCCTTTAGCCTGTCATTGAAACAGGATAGCCTAATTTATAGTGACACCTGAGGTTGATTTTTACGAAAGCCTATTCGTGCCACTTAAGTATATAAAATCATCAAAATGTAATCCGAAATTTCGGATTAGTAATCCGTTATTTCGAATTAGTAACTCGTTATTTCGGATTACTAATCCGAAATTTCGACTTAGTAATTCGTTATTTCGAATTAGTAATCCGTTATTTCGGATTACTAATCCGAAATTTCGAATTAAGTAATTCGTTATTTCGAATTAGTAATTCGTTATTTCGAATTAGTAATTCGTTATTTCGAATTAGTAATTCGTTATTTCGGATTACTAATCCCAAATTTCGAATTAGTAATTCGTTATTTCGGATTACTAATCCGAAATAACGAATTACTAATTCGTTATTTCGGATTACTAATCCGAAATTTCGGATTACATTTCGATGATTTTATATACTTAAGTGGCACGAATAGGCTTTTGTAGATTTTGGAACGTTTCAGATGAATGAACGCGAACGCGAATCGAATGATCAATGCTGAGCTCCTCTCTTCAACAGGTAGGTAGTCTTTCATTGTGCGATAGTAATACAGGTAGCTTAATTTCGCCACACAATAATTCAGTAATCAAATATTTAACATTATTCATTTCCTTTCTGAGGGACCAGAAGCTAAACGTAGGAATAGGACAGAAAGACCGTGGTTGTCGTTGCATGAATGATAAAATGTGCGGTATTGCATGCTCTAATGCCCCATATACCATTGTTTCCGAATTCCATTATTGGCCACGCTCTATCCAAGGATACCTCCTTGCTCTATCTTCCAAGGTCAGATATCGTTGTATTAGGCTCGGAGTCATGGACGTTAATGAAAGCTCCATCGACAGATTTAGGATATTTCTCCCTAAATTTAATATATGTATGTGACTGCTAATAGTAATATCA